ACCCGGCCCAGCCAAGCGCCCCCGAGCGGCCGCCGCAGCAGCGGGGGCGGCGCCAGTTAGACTGGGCGGCGGCGCACAAGGCCGCCACCATTGCTTCCTGGAGCGGCCTGTGCTACATACACGACAACGATGACCTCCAGGCCCGCCTGGCTGCGCAGGGCATGACGCTCGTCGCCAGCGGGCGCACCGAGTACACCGCTTGGTGCGCGCGCTCGAGCCGAGCGGCTGCGCGGCAGCTGCCCAAGCAGCCCCTCTTCCGCTGCACGCTTCCAGCTTTATAAAACCGACTGTCTTTGGGCGCAAGATTGCCGCTGCAGATCTGCTTGTTGAGGCCTTGAGGTGCCCGCTCTCAACAACCCTTAATGTTGGTGATCACACCATCCGCCATGTGTCCCGACGTCCCTGCATGTCTGAACCTGCAGGTACGTGGCCGACGGCGCCATCGACGCCGCCGCCTTTGCCCGACAGCTGCAGGAGCGCAAGTCATCCGGCGGCAGCGGCGGCAGCAGCAGCGGCAGCAGCGGCAGCAGCAGCATCGACGGCGGCGGCAGCCCGGGGTCCAGCCTCGACGGCGCGGCCGCCGCGACGGAGCTCGGCGCGCCGCCGCCGCGGCGCGAGCGCTTCGTGCTTCTGCGCGGTGTGCAGTGGGGGGCCCCTGACATGGACTCTGCGCGCATGTGGCGCAGCCTCGTGCGCGTGTGGCCCAAGCCGCTGGAGGCGTCCCCCAGCATCGTCGTGCACGAGGGCGTAGGAGAGATGGCACAGGTCGGTCGGTCGGCTGCTGCCGCCCTGCGGATGGTCGCGCGCCGCCCCGCCTGCATCAGCTTGGACCCGCGAAGGCCGTGTTGATGTGTATGGTGGTGCATCCTCAGACTCCTCGCACGTGCCCAACTTGCTAGCCTGCTAGCAGTCCGAGTGCAGCCGCCATTTTTTGCGCCAAGCAGCTGCGCCCCGCGTCCGTGCGTGCCATCACGCAGGCCATGTTTGACCAGCTGCGCCCCTACCTTGACCACGCCGAGGACGCGGGTGGGTGCGCCTCTAGGGGCTAGGGGCGTCGTGAGTGGGCTGACCAGCAGCAGAAAGTATGGTTTCTGGAGTGCTGGATCACACGCACCTCTTGACCCGAAGTGCGGCCCTCGCTGCTATGCATGGGGCCGCGGAGGAGCCTTTGCCGGTCAGCCGTGAACACGCCAGCGCCCGTGCTGCCGCCGCCCCCACCCCAGGCATCCCGGTCGTGTTTGGCGGCCACTCCCTGGGCGGCGCCATGTCCAAGCTGCTCATGGCCCTCTACCGCCTGCACAGCCGCAGGTTGGGCAGGCAACAAAATCAGGGGTCTGGGTGTGCCTTCCAGTTAGCGACTAGCAAGGAGCCCTGACCCTCCCCCCCTTCCTTTCATTCTGTCTTGCACCACGGTGTGGCTCTGTCTACCTCCGCATTTGCTCCCGCATCCGCCCCACTTACTGTACCCCCAGCTCCCTCCCTCGAGCCCCCACTGTAAGCCATCCACCCTCCATCCCCCCCCTTCCCGAGCGCCCCTGCCCCTGTCTCCCCACCCGGACCCCCCACCAGGCGCGACTCCCAGCCGGCGCCGGCCTGCTACACCTTTGGCTCACCCCCCGTCGTCGCCCACGCGGAGGGCGGCGGCGGCGACCGCGTGCTCCAGGTGCTGGGCCTCTCTCGGCCTCAATGCAGGTGTGCATGGCGGCGGGGCGCAACCCTTCACGTCACTGCGCGTCGCACGCCACCGGCGCGGGTGGGACCACCCACGGCCGGGGTTGCGGCATGGGTGGGGGGCCGTTATTGTCGGGGAGCACCTTGCTGCCAGCCGCGTCCACCGGGCCTGCCTCGTGTTTTCGAGCCCATGTCAGCTGGCATGTGGTTGTCCCCCTTGCCTCCCAAGCATCTCCCCCATAAACCAGCCTCAGCTCGTGTCACCTGATAAGTTTTTGACCCAATTGTTGGGTTTCTCACTTACGTAATCAAAACCCATCCTCCGACAGGAACTTTATACTCCAAAACGACCCCGTGCCGCGGGCCCTGCTCTCGGTCGATCCAACTTACCAGGTGTGTGGTCAGGCCGCCCCCCGCAACGAGGCGTGGTGCGCGTGCGTGCGCGCGTGCGTTCGCTCGTGTCTTCAGGCTTGGGGTGCTTACAAGCTATCCGTGCAACTCGTGTGCCAACGCGGTCCCATCAGCCCTTCCTGCCAGCTTTCTCCCAGCTTCCTGCCAGCTTCATGCCAGCTTCCTGCCAGCTTTACACAAAAGACCACGGTCACAGGTTCTACCTGCGAGCCCCGAACGCCGCCGGTGTTTTTTGTTCATCGCCGCCATTGCCACCACGACTCCCCCAACCCACAACTCCCAGGTCCTTTCGGGGCTGCCCGTGGTGCAGGGGCTGCTTGAGCTGCGGGCGCGCCTGGCGGGCCACACGGGGCCACCGCTGTCCCCCAAGCGCTTCCTGTTCGAGACCGTTGGCGAGGTGGGGCAAATGCGGCGGCAGCGCTGTTGACAGCGCCGCCGGGCGCCGGCGAGCTGTGCAGGATCAGCCAGGCCCGGATGGAGGGGCGCCGCCCCTGCCGGGTTGGACCGCCCGGGCCGCCCTACGTCTGCTTAGTCATCCCTGCCTTTCACATAGTGTTCCGCTGTCCGCGCCCCTCCTTGTCCCCGCCTTGTTGCACCTGCTTTCAATTCCTCCAGGACGACCCTTACCCTTACAACCAACTTGGACTCTTTCCTCTGCACCCCTTCCTACCCCGAATAGGTCCATTTCATCAAGTGGACCCCCCAGGAGGGCTCCCAGGTGGCCCTCCTCGAGCCTGATGAGCTGGCAGCAGAGCTCAGCATGCTCAGCACGCCCCTCAGCAGCGCTGACGCCGCAGACAGCGCAGCCGTCGCCGCAGCGGCCGCGACCGCCGCGGCACCCGCGCCGCCGCGGGCTCCGGCCGGCGGCGTCCAGGCGGCGGCGGCGGCGGCCGCGGCGCGGCTGAGCCCGATGGCGGGGGTGCAGGCAGTGCTTGACCACCACCATGGATCCTATGTCCAGGAGCTCGAGGCCGCGGCCGGGCGCGAGCTGGGGCGGCTGCTGAGGGAGGGGCGGG